AAAAAAAAAAAAAAAAAAAGAAATGTAGACATCAAAAGTATTTAGAGAAAAAAAAAAAAAAAAAAAAGGGTTTCACGAGGGATCGAACCAGGCTCTACCGCGTGTGAAGGGGACGTCTTTCCCACTGAGCTACTGGGGCATATCGAAATAGGGTATCTCTTTCCTTAGTAATAATTTAGCCGATAAACTGTAAGTTGAAAAGTTTGCTGCCGATTTTCCTCTAGCAAAAGCGCTCCCGGGTCGAAGTCGGGATGCACCACGCATTCGCGACATTCTCACCTAGTAAAGAAATCGTACGCGTGCATATTCCACTCGAAGTAGACACGTCGCGCTTGACGTTTGCGCGAGCGATGTCTTCAGCCACGAGAAGGGAGCGACGGCTCGGCGACGTCTTCGTGCAAATCGGCTTGGTGGTCGGGCGTGTCGTACGGGATGAATACCAATTCTTTTGACCAGTCCCAAATTTCTCTTTTAAAGGCAGACAAAATTCGCCGGTACCGCGAACGACAGTTCTGAAATAGAGGTCCCACGCCCGTCGTCCGCTGCCATCGCCGTCCCTGCGAGTCCCACGATACGCGAAACGACGCACGCACAGAATGCTTCCGGTTGTCTGTGGAACTTTTTTTTCAATCAACGTATTTGCAGCTTTTTAGAAGCCACAAAAAATGGGTTTTATATTTTTTTATATTTTTAATATTGAGTGTGTGCCTTCAGTGACCTACGACTTTGATTAAATTTGGTGGTCGCATCGATACCTTAGAAAACGGCCCGTGACCGCGGAAAAGAGAGTGAGCGAGACTCGAACCGGCCAGTTCTTGATCGGCAGTTTTCGGGCGGAAAGAAACCGAATTTCGAGCCGCAAATTCTGTTCTGGGTAGTTGAGCTCTCATATGTCACGTACAACTAAAAACCTCGGCGAGCATAAATACCCTGTCAGTGTCCCTTTAAGGGAGGGGGGGGGGGGGGCGGGCGGTCTTACTACGATAACATGGCGACAGCGTTTACACTCTATGTTTTTACGCGAGGCTCGAGTATTTGGGGATAATGCTGCCGGTTGGTGTGCCCCTTTGTGCCTGATATTATCGCCCGTGACGCCAGCGAGTGAGATGGCGACAGGCATGACTGCTCAGTAAACAGGCGTCGGCGGCCATGTTTTGCTGGTTGAAGCGAACCCCCTTGTCCTTGACAGCGAGCGGGGAAATGCGAAAAAAAGATTGTATCGGCCGTTTTTCCAGAACTAGCGACGAGTGTCGTCTGCGGTTTCCGGCAACTATTTTGCCATAATCGTGAGCTTAGCGAGGAAATGATATTTGCTAGCCACAGAACACTACCACGCAGAAAGGGAATGCTTGAACATGTTTTTGTTCTGGATATATATCAGGGATATATATGAGAGAGAGAGAGAGAGAGAGAGAGATGAAGGTAGAGCGGAAGAGGGAATAGCATATAGTGTCGCAGGAGAATAAAGTAAACAAAGTTCCTAGTGGCCGATGGCTGCATGATCTTTTCTCGGATCACTAGTCCGTAATATGATACCTCTTTGTACACAGTAGTTTCTCCTTAATTTAAGTGTGTGAACGATTTCTGTAGTTATCATTGGCCTCATCTGAATAAAAATATATAAAAGATGTGTGTTGGTTTCATGAAACTGGAACTCAGAGTCAGTTCTTGTATAAAACACTGCTAAGTGTAAGCTTTGAAAAAGGACCCTACTTTGGGGAGTTGTATCTTCTTTCTCAATAAAATGATGCAACATGTTTTTAATGGAAATGAATGCCGAAATAGAGTATAACAGGTTACCTAAATTTAAAAAAAATCGAGGGTGGTGTTTTTTTTTTATTTGCATCGGAATTTTCCTTTGTTTGATTTTTTTTCCATGTTTGACTAAATATATCCTAACTATTGTATCACACAGATACCTTAGTTATTTTTTAAATATGAGGTATATATTAGTAGAATAATATCTGCAAATTATATCATAATGATTAAATTATTTCATGAGATACAGACCTCCAAAGTTTGCCATTTGTCGTTCGAGCAGGCATGTTTGTCAATTTTTAGAAAAATAAATAAATTTTAAATAAATATGATTACTTTATATTACAAGCAAGCTATACCCATAGTTTGCGCCTAAAACGTATTAGAGTTCTCCTAATGTTATCGCTTTAGTTATTCACCCTCAAACGGGCCCCCTCCATCAGTGCGCGTTAATGCAACTGTCCACCACCTCATGCCTTACGATTTTTCCTGTCCCCAAGTATTTTTTCTAGTCAAAACTAAGTTTGGATTCGTTCATACCAGACACTAGACAATAACATATAAAAACATCAGTTGATTTGAAAATGTCGACTAGCCATCCTTTGGTCGATCTTATCTGAAATCACCCTACATATTTTTCGTGCACTCCCACTCGAGACACGGTCGGAACCCAAAACCAAAACTTTGGCTTCTGTGGATAACGTTAACTCATGTTGCGAATGACACGGCATACCCGCCCAGTAGAGAGTCGCATGATACAAACAGTCACGTGATTAATTGGACCAACAGGCACAGTGCGAGTGTTAACTGCATTGCACCAGGCTGCTCATCCAACTGCGACTGCACCACCAAAACCTGCGCCTGGGCCGTTTGCAGACGGACAGAGTTTTTAATCAAAGTATGTTTGGGACAGAGGTGACATATACTACGTCGGGATTAATGGGATAAAGCTAGAGCAGATATCCAGTGTGGCGGGCCCACGACAGTGCACCCGGCACGTGGGAGCATGTGCTTCCTGTAAAGTACCATGGATCGTGGCACAATCTCGGGTCTTTTTGTTTTTTGTTTGTTTATTCATACTGCTAACCTCTTTCGAGGTCGTAGCAGGAGTGGAAAACACATAGACACAAATATTTCATGGTGCACTCATTTACACAAAACGTCGCAAAAGTCGGAATAGGTGGCTGCATTAACGACATTGGGTGGCAGGTTGTTCCAGTCAGTTACTGTTCTAGGAAAGAAGAAATATTTAAATGAATCATTTTTATAATTAATATGGTTTAAGTGTCTTCTGATGTGAATATCTGGATACTCTGGGGCAAAAAAATGCATTGTATTGATTTTTGTCTATTCCCAGCTCATTGCTAACAATTAAATAAAGCAATTTCAGACGATTTTGTTTCCTTCTTTCCTGTAATGTTTGGAGTCCTGCTCTAGAACACAAGTCTGTGGGGGACACATAAGAAGAATACTCATTTTCTGTAATTTTTTATTGGAATGTATTTCTTCCATGAATCAATACTCGTTTTCACCTCAAGAATTGTAGTAAAAAAAAGTCCGGCTCCTCGCAGAGCATTACTAATTTCCACCTTAAAGGGTAACTGCAAAGAAAAAAAAGTGTTTTTTTAAACAGCCTATATGGGACAAGCATGTCACAAAACAAATCTTCCGCGAAAAAACAAATTTTTTCGAGCAATATTTACGCCGCAGGACGTAATTTACTCGGAGTCACAACTTTTCCCCATTTGAAACTCCCGCTCTTTGGACGCGCGCAGAGTGGCTGCTATACGTCACTCCGTGACGTAAATCAGCTACTCCGTGACGTATAATACCAACTTTGGGCGCGCGATTTAGAACGCACGAAATAGCTGCAAATTAAAATGAGTCTCGCGCAATAAATATTGCTGTAAAAAATTTTGTTTTTGGCAGAAAATTTGTTTTGTGACATGCTTGTTTAAATTAGGCTGTTTAAAAATACACTTTTCTTTCTTTGCAGTTACCCTTTAACATGGAGAATTAAGATGTATGTGGGTGCATTGCAGACTAGATATGTGTTATCTTATCAAGATGTACACGTTCCAAACACCAAAAGTATCTCTTCTTCCTCTGACAACCAAATCTTGTAAGAACTACTTCGTGCCGCGTATGAACATTGTGCAAAACTTCCTCTTTTCTTGAGGTGAAAACGAACATAGGTAGTAATTTCCTTGTATCAAGTTATTTATTTATTTATTTATTTATTTTACACCTTAAAGGCCCAAAGGCATAACATAAGACAGCAATACAAAAACAAACGAGACAAATACAAAACTTTATGCCAAATTGCTACGCAATTGTGTTGCATACAAGAAACCTTCTGGCATCACAAATGTTAAGAGATGCTCAGAGTTGCCAGATGTCTACATTCACGGTGCTCTTCATCAAACGGTTTAGCACGTACCATGTGTACATTTGATAGTTGATCTTAGAATGAAGCGATATTGGATATTGGATGGGAAGGGATGATAAACATGGCAATCTTCCAGAGCCTTCTATACTCTCGAGCTCCTACCGCTCTGGTCACATGATCTCCCCATTAACCAATCAGGGTCGACGACCTCACTCCTCCTCTCCCACCCGTCGACCATTCGGTGTCGAGCCTCGTGGCCACGCTTTTATCTGGGCTTCACGAAATGCCGAACAGCTAGCCAAAGAATGCTTCAGGTTAAGAACATAGGCCAAGTAAAATGCGATAAAAGAAATGTAAAATCATGTTGTTATCTGCCTTTTGGCAGAACAGAACGGGATCACCGATTTCTTTAAATTCGTTATGCTTGAGCCACACTTGTAATTATTTACGACAAAATGAGCCATCCTATTTTGTGTGCATTCTAACTGATGAAAAATTGTGGAACTTTATTTGTCTTTTGGTTAAAGACTTGGGTGGAATTCTATATTTTAATACAGCGGTTCTCAAACGGGTCCGGACCCCCAGGGGTAATCGAGAGCATTCATGACCTCCGCATAAAGTAAAAAAAACTACTCTGAAAAAAAAAAAGCCCTCCTATGCCATTGCACAATACTTCTGGTGCAGAATACATTGGCCTCCAAGTAGGTCAGGGGTCCCGTGACAACCAAAAATTTGAGACCCGCTGTTTTAAAACTAAGTTACTTGTAGACTGTAGCATAAATCAGGCAGGGTTGCCTTTTGAGCCTGTTTAGCGAGCTAGTTCCCCAAGGTCGGTTTTTCTTTGTCCCCACAGGAGAAGAACTCCTTCCTCAACTACAACGTCTCGTGCATTTTGACGCTGCCGCCGTACCAGCGCCAGGGCTTTGGGAGGATGCTGATCGATTTCAGTAAGCTCTGCTCCCCAGACTTTTTCTTCTACACGCTTTATGAAGGCTGCCATTGATGCGATTCGACCAGAGAAATTGTAGCGGGTCTGAATTTCTTGCTTGAATTTTTGTATATTTTTTACAGTGGAGCTGTTAAGGGCTAGGTTCCCCAGGATTGTGTCCGGTATGTCGACACAAACCTACCTGGACAGCTACCGCCATCTATAAGCGACGGTGGCAAGCACACAACCAGTATGGTTTCCGCCGTCGCTCGTAAATGGCGCCAACCTTTCCAGCTATCATAAAAGAAGTGATAGTTGGGCGCGTTGGTGGGAATTCATTGTAGGAAACAGCGCGAAAAACAGACGATGACGAAGAGGAAGCACAGGTAACGAGCGCAGCGCTCGTCGCGTTTGTTTCTTCGTCCTCGTCTGTTTTGCGCGCTGTTTTCTGCGCTCCTACGCTTTTATCAGTTTCAATTTGGACTCATGATGGGTCGGCCGCGCGCCCTTTTGGGGAAAGGAGACGGGCTGCGGAAGGATTGGCGACGTACGCAGCAGTGCGAATGGGTCCACAACCACCGCAAAGCCGCTGTCGCCTCGACTTCCACTGCATCCAGCGCTTCACATTCCCTTGCCAAAGAGCACATTGCTCGCCTGGGAAGCCGCCGCCGAGAATAGAACCAGCGATGTAAAGGGCGCCGGCGGGCCAAAGCCACGGATGACAATCGTGCCACGGATGTGAAGAACAAGCGCGAGGCCCGGCGACAACTGCACTCCACGCCGGCTGAACAGTTCTCGGGTACTACGGCGAGGTTCCGGAGGGAGTTCGTGGAGAACCCGTTAGGTGTCACGTGCGCCGTGTGCGACTGACTCTGGTTCGCCGGAGACGTATCCATGATCGGCGGCACGTCGGACGAGAAGAAGCGGGAATCGGGCGCATGCACGTTGCGGCAGTGTATCGAGTACAGCTCCACTGGTCTTCCTTCTTCACGAGAGTGGAAAGGCTGAACGTTTTTTTGTTTAGTTATGCCTTTGTGTAGTCCATGAGTGAAGTTTAAGTTTAAACTAAAAGAGCTTTAGCATTGGACGAAAAAGCTTCCGAATAAACATAACAAGTTCTACTGATTTTTTTAAGAAGTCATCTGTCGCAAACAAAATTTTTGTGAAGACCTAATTTTTGCATACTTTGCCTTTTGGGAAAGAATTGTGACAACTTGTTTGTTAGTGCAAATAAATAAACACATGTTGATGAATACCATAGCATCTTACTCCCAATCACGAAATTGTGTGCCTGTGAAATGTCTCCTATTTTGCGAAGTTCTCGAAATATCCTGAACCGCTCGTTAAATGTGCGATGCGCTCAAACTCTTTGTGATGCAGTAAGCACTAATTAGTGGTTCCACGGGAGTGGGAAAGCAAAAAGAATCACACCTGCACACGGGCAGTTCTTTCTACTGCCACTAACTAAGGTTAACCGATACTATGGTGCCTGAAATGCGTCTGCAAATTTTGTGTTTAGCAATCCATTCTGCCCATGCGTTGAAAGTGGTCCCGAATTGGCAGCGACCGACCCCACAAAGGTCGGAGTGTCACGCCGTCGGACATTGCGATCGTGGCGGTGGGGCGTAGAAGTTCTGGACAAAAAGCACGAGAGAATATGAGTGTTGTCACGGTGTCCCGACTTTTGGCGGCCGAAGCTGCCGGAGAGGGACCCGCGACAGAACGGGGTGGAAATGGAGGGAGCAGTTTTTTGGATGCCGTAAAGACGCCAGTCGGAAACGCGCCGTAGGCTCCGTAGCGTCGATGGGTCGGGGCACGGGAGGGGCGGGCAGGCCGAGCCCTTTCGGAAGAGCGCCCTCTGGCGGTTGCAGGCTACCTGCTGAGCAAGGTGGAGAACAAGGTGGGGTCTCCCGAAAAGCCGCTGTCGGACCTGGGACTCATCTCGTACCGGAGCTACTGGAAGAGTGTCGTCCTGGACTACCTGAGGCGTTTTGAGGGCAAGGAGCTCTCCATCAAAGGTTAACACCCACCCTTCTGAAAAACCCCACCGTGGGCCGTTAGAGTGACGTGAGCCAAAGAGTTGGCTTACGGATTCAGTTTTGTATTCTTGCGAATGTATCTATGGTTAGTTATTCGAGGGAAGCGACCAAGTTACATCGCATCAACTTTTAGAACGTCCCACACAGTCAAGGTTGCGCCGCGATTGCCACCCAACTGGTCAGATTGCCAATCTAGAATAGATATTGGCGCGGTTCCGCTTTTATTTGACACTTTGCTCGCAGCAGCTGTTTCGGGCAGTGACGACACGCGGTGCCAATGTGGAAACCCTCCGTGATTGTGATTATGTGTCTAATTTCAAGAAGTAACCTGTAAGACTGAGTTACTTCAAGTCACTCCAGAACTGTAACCACTGAGTTAGAGTTAGAGTTGCTGAAATTTTATTGTAACCTAGAAAGTATTTCTAGTTGCTGAAACTATAACCACTTAGAGCCGTTTAAATATCCTTACCGTAAAGTTCCGAGGGAACGCCCGCCCCCGAGAGATCGCCCATCCCGTTTTTCTGGCTAAATATCTGCAACACAAAAGTTCCGTAACATCGCCCTCCCCCCGATTCCCGTCGGACGTCACGCAATGTCCGACGGGAATCGCATCAATCGCGCAATTAGCTGTACCGGCACGTCTGACAAGCGAGCTTATTGCGTGTTCCCACGTTTTTGTCTGCAATCTACGCACGTGATATCGCCTCCTGTAACACGTGGGTTGTTCCCACGTGTATATGTTGCACTGTGAAATGCGAACCTACTGCGTCCTCAATCTGTGGTATCCGTTCCCGTGACATAGCTTTTAGCAGATTTCCGCGTTTTTGTCTGCAACCTGTGTGCGCGATCTCGATTTCACGCGAGTTGGTCCCGCGTGTATATTGCATTGTAAAATATGATTCTGCTGGGTTCGCGATCTGCTGTATTTGTTCCCGTAACATACGAGTTTGTAGCGGATTCCTGCCTTTTTGTCCGCGATCTGCGCACGCAATATCGGTTCCCGTGAGAGACAAGTTTGTGGCGGGTTTTTGCGTGTTTATTGCATCATAAAACTTGCATCTGCTGCGTCCACGATTTGGGGTATCCATTCCCATGAGATGCGAGTTCTCGGCAGATTTCTGCGGGTCCTTAGCACCGTGAAACACAAATCTGCTGCGTTCGCAACCTGCGGTATCCTTTCCCATGACACAAGAGTTCGTAGCGAATTCCCGCATGTTTATCGCAGAATGACACGTGAATTTGCAGTGTCCGCGATCTGCGGTATCAGTTCCCGCATCACTTGGTTTGTAGCCGGTTTTTGATAATGTTTTGCTGTTGCGTTCCCAGAGATAACCCACCCCACATTTTTCACCATTTATCTCTTCATTTGAAGTGGGCGTTCTTTCAGAACTTTACGGTAGTTAGTTCCTTTACAGGTATTGGTATACCTGTCAAGACATCTTTGTATTTATTTTTATTCAAACACACTGCCAGCTTTGATGCCAATGCAAGATAGTAAGGTCACTGGCAACCACAGCTTGCACTTGAACAGATGGAATGTTTTTGTGGAAAGTGGACAGGACTCGCATATTATTGAGAGCATTATTCGATAGACCAGTGATTCTCAACTACGTTGATGTTTCGCGGACGCCTTTTGGATTGGCGGAGATCATGGGGGACCCTGTTCGTGGTGAGGAGAAGGGAAAGGTATATAGGTTAATTTAGATAGTGATTTTATAAATGGATATAACTAAGGGCTAGTGCGAAGTAGGCTTTTCTCATTGACATACAAACGAGAAAACGCATCCAAAAATTGGTATGTTTCTTCTTAATCCGAAAAAAGACAACTTTTATTGCCGGACTGGACTTATGAGGCAGGGCTTCACGGACCCCAATTGGAAGAAGAAGAAAATAGATGGGTGCTATGGAGCCCCCGATTGGAGAACCGCTGCAACAGTTTGATTGATCGCTGCATTTTACGATGGAAGAGTTTCTAAAATTACCTGTGCTGAAGCGTTCAGGTTTAATGTGTTGATCGTGTTTGGTTCTAGTATGAACAGTTGTCCAAGTTAACGCGTCTAAGATGCAAAATGTGTTTGTGCACACACAGACTTGAGCCAAGAGACGGCAATCAGCGCCTACGACATAGTGAGCACGCTGCAGTCCCTGGGCATGCTCAAGTACTGGAAGGGAAAGCACCTGGTGCTGAGGAACCAAGTCAACACCGTGAGTATGGCCACTCCACTCCATTTTTTGACCAGAGGAGGGAAAATCCTCAGGACGCAAGTCGGGACCAGTTGCAAAGGTACCGTAGTTGGCACTACCAGGGAGAACTCGGAAAGGAAGCTGGATCGGTAGCCGACGCTTCTCCAATCGAGTTTGCTTCTTTGGGGCTTTACCAGGAGCCGTCAGCAAATGAAAGAGAAGTCCAAACGAGATGCAGCTAGTCTAAGCCGATTAGGAAGAATGCGAAGCTTGACGAAGAACATATCCCACGACGAAATATTGGCTGCTGCTCTGGGGCTTCCTAATGCTGGTACGACGAGCCAGGGCCGTACCCAGAAAAAAATTTCGGGGGGGGTTTTCGGGGACAACGGCGGCCATTTTGTCTTATTTTCGCCTATGAATCATGTCAATCGGTGGCATATAATGGAGAGTTATAGCAAACCGAAGAACCGGTCCCGGTTTGGTACCCGGTAGCCGACCGGTGCCACTGCGCGTGCTCAGAGGTGGAGATTAAAATCGGCTGGCTGCAAGTGCATCGACCAGGGCCGTACCCAGAAAAAAATTTCGGGGGGGGGTCAGAACCCCCTAACCCCCCCCCTGGTTACGGCCCTGCGACGAGCTCATCTGATGGATCATTTCTTAAGCAAAAGCAAAATCAGAGCGGTTTGTGAGACGCGTCGTCATTGAGGAACTAGACGCTGTTGTGCTGCACGTCGGTGGGCACAATCCAAAAAAGTGGGGAACCTAACAGCAGCATGCTCCCCTTAATGGTTGTTCCCGATTTCCGTCAGCCTAACGGCAGTTGCACTCTACAGCAGTGCATAGTACACATATTGGCGCATGTATTGTTTTCCAGAAATGAGATGTTTGCCTAGTCTAATCGAATGCAAACTTATCTGGTGTACAAATCCAACACCGGGGTTTCCTAAGCCTTGTTATCCTTTCCTACCTCGTGGGTTGGCTCTTCCGAAGAAAAGGGCAGTTTATGTCATTTAAATTAACCTGTAGTTATCAGGGAAGTTGCATGAAAACAGCGATTCCTGTTGGCACTCTATTAAACTGCGCAAGTCTTATGTACGCTGCACTACACAGCATGAACATGATCGATATTAGCACATTCTTTTGCGTTTTACTCAAACAAGGCAGCGACAATCACCAGCCTCGTCTGGTAAAATTTGTTTTCGTTTTGTGACTCAAAAAGTCGAAATAAAATTATTATTAATATTATTATTATTAAATTTGATGAACAAAGTTGGTGCTTCAGATGAGTGAACTCCTTTGCTCTGTGGTGGATAATTTTATTAGAATTCCACTAAACTTAGTGAAAACGATCTTTATATTTGCTTTAAGAATAGCAAACCTAGGAATAGTCCACAATAGTTCCTGCTATGTGAGCATATATTAATATTTTTGGTAAACTCAACAGTTGGTAAGCAACAGCCCAGGTTGATAAAAAATGAAACCAAACTTCTTATGCATTTCAGTGCACGACTTTTCAAATATTTTTTCTATCCGGCCGCTTTTCTTTCGAAAGGTGGTAGATTTGTCGAGCCAATCTACGAACCCCTCCCAACAGGTTTGTTTGAATTCGTACGAAACCACCTTACCGCTCAATCACACTGGAAGCGTATCCGCGTTCGCAAAGCGGTTGCAAACGCGGTTGTATAAAGATCCAGTACAATTGCACGCGCACTCAATGACATCAAGAGCGCGTGCAATTGTACTGGATCTTTATACAACCGCGTTCGCAACCGCTTTGCAAACGCGGATACGCTTCCAGTGTGGATGAGCGTTAGGGAGCTCCGATGACTGCCATTCATTTTGTGAGAAAAGAGAAACCGGAGGAACTTGCTCTTGCCGGTTTCTGCTGCTGCGTGCCGTGCCTCCTTGGCGAGCCCCTCTGGTCTCTGTTTGCCGGGCAGGAGTCACTGGAGAGCCTGCCGGCCAAGTCGCGCAAGGTGCGCCACGACCGAGCCCTGGACCCCGAGTGCCTCCGCTGGAAGCCCTACGCCCTGCCCAACCGGTAGCCGCCGGGGAGCCGAGCAAGAGCCGCCCTTCCAGTGTGCGTGCTTGTGCCCGAGCGCCCAGCATCGCCGGTTTTAGAACAAAGAGGTTTTAGAAGATGGGGAACGTCCCGCAGCATCGCGAGAGCTGGGGGCTGCTCCCAAGAATTTCCAAAAAGAAAGCGAGGGAGGTAAAAAGCAGTCCGCCTTCGTTTCGTTCGCTGTTCTATGTTTTAGGAGCGAGGTAAGAGTCTACTCGAGATAAGTGTTTTTAAATAAAAGGTTTTTCCCAACGAGAATGCGGTGTTTTCGTCCAGCGGCCTCCATGGGCCCTGCGTGTTGTGGGTGTCGCCTCCGTCCGGCGATGTGCGATTGTTTTTGGGAGTAATTGTGTAACGGCAGAAATGGGCCAAATACTCCCGAGAGTGTACATAATTAAATACAAATACTGACAAAGATGTATTTAATTACAATTGCACCTTTGAGTTATTCCTTGCACTGTTCCTTCGGAAAATTTTTGAGAGTGCCACACGCGTCAAGTTTAAACGTGAAGTCACGTTTTTCTGCAAGTGCCTTAACCGACATTGGAATAAAATTATACTTGCGGTCTCTGTACCGAGGTTAAAGGCAATGGCTCAACCTGCGAAGGTAACACAAACTTTTTGTCTGGAATGTGTCTCATGTACCTGGGCAGGTGAGAGCGCCTGCCAGATATAGGAGTTCTCACCCGTGGTCTTTGTTCTCACTGCACCGTAGATAGACTGTGGAGAGCCTGCGTTCCGTATCGCATCGAGGCTTTACAATTGTTGAACTGGTTTGTCAGTCATCTTATACCTCACGAATACCGCAGAGTACATTCAAACTACACGCCTTCGCACGTGTTGCACTCGTGAAATTTTTCCGTGGGGTTCACACGTCTACGACATCAATACTTGATTGGTATCCAAGCATTCAATGGCACAAAACACTTAAGCATCACTTTACAAAGCACCCAACACCCTCTTCGATTGTCCCGCGTGTTTTTGAAGCAGGTTATGCCCAACTTGCGTGGTGCAGTTTTACTCGCGACGTCACTTGTGGAGCAAAAAAGCGTGATGTAAGTTGCGGTGCTTCAAGGTTGCTGCTGCAAAAGGTGGAAGCAAAATCGCACCATGTGATTTAGGCTTTATGCTGCCTTTCACTGGTGCTACGCTTTTGTAGTTGCCAAAACTGTTTATGCAAGGAAAAAAATTGGCAGCCCCTTCTCAGGTATTGAGTTAGTCCGAAAGCATAAAACACTCATTACAGACGTCACAGCCACGTCTACGCATGTGCCCAAGGAAACATGGCAGCTGTGCACCGAGCTGCAAAGCAAATATTCCCGGGTCTTGAACCGCAATGCAGATGCATAACCAAGACCCCACGACTCACCTGGACCTAGACGTCAATTCACTTTGGCAACTGCCTTTTTTTAAATGCTTTTTTGATGCCGAATGCTGCGGGGACTGCAGCAAAAAAGCGTTTCATGTTCTAAAGACATCTTGGACAAACAAAGGTGACCAATCAGAAATCCTGGCCTTCCGCACATAGCCGCCCAACCTCCACAGTGCTTCACACTGCTGACTTTAGGATGCAAAAGGTGCGGTGGCAATCAGTTCGTCGAATGACGTTTCATTGATAAATGGCTTCGTCGACATGCAACGTTTCCTCGGAAAGCTTCCAGCGCTAGTTTCATTGATTGACGTTGCGTCAAACACAACCCTGTGGTTTTCGCATCAAACTATGCCTCGTGCCTGGTTTATGCGGGAGAGAAAGGGGAGGCCCAAAGCTTGTTAAACATGCCTCGGTGAATCGCGCGCTAGCTTTCAGCAGCTTAGTAAACGAAGAAATATGTTGTCAACAAAATGTCAAAGGGGCCACGAAATCCACGAAACAAGCTCGTGGAAGCTTGTTTCGTGGATTTCGTGGCCCCTTTGACACACGCACACTGCAAAAAATAGCCATACATTTCTATGACTTTACAGGTGAATGTTGCCTTTAAAAACGTATGTGCGAAGGTAAAAAAATATATATATAACAGCCTGGTACGCGTGACATGTCGTGTGAGATGGATGGTTGATTGTAGAAGGACTCCTTGCAGGCTTGCGCGCGCTCCGTCCTGTAGGTTTTAGATCGAAGGCTGGACTGGTGTATTCTAGTACACCATAGCAAGACAAAGGCTAACTACGGTCACGTGATTTGGTCACGTTGGCATGGTTAGTGAGGAAAATAAGGAGGAAAATGAGAAAGGCGAGGTGTCAAGGGAGCATGGCTTGTGGAGGCTACGCGGCCGACGTCATGCCCTCTCCTACCCTTCTATCCTCCTTGGCTGAAGTCCTCAGAACTAGGGGTGTCGCGAACCAGCCGAGGTCAAGTTCGACCAGGTTCGACTTTTTCGAACTTTTAGTGGAAAGTCGACGAACCTTGTATTGAGGTTCGACTCGTGTGCGCATGCGCGATAGGCTGGCCAATTGGCTTCGGATAGGATGGTAATGGCTAAGGGATGAATTAAGGGCAGCGCTGATTGGTTATTTCAGTTAATACAGTACAAAAATTAAGTTATTAACTTCTTCAGTAATTAGAATTAGTTTCTTTTAATTACAGTTGTTCACGTGACAAAACTAAAATAACCCTTTGCATAAAAAAAAAATTCTCCAAACCTAGACGTGCTTGTGTCAAGGTCTGGCCACACTGTCCAGAAAGTCGAACCGGTCAAATCTGGTGAAAAGTTTCGAATGTCGTCGAGACACTTCGATCTAGTCGAACCCTAAAAGTTCGACCTAAAAATCCGGTTCGACAAAAGTTCGCGACACCCCTACTCGGAACCCCCACGCCACCGCTGCCGCCGCACGCTGAGCGTGGCGCGCTGCTGGCTGAACGCCTTTCTTAATTTAAAATACTGTCGAAAAAACGCACACACAAAAAAAAAATCTTTTATTAGTTTTATTTAATTGAAAAATAAAAAAAGTCATTATCATTATTTAGCAACCTGTGTCCACGCCGCCGCCAGAAGAGAACATGCGCACAGGTCTGTCACGTGGTGCTTGCGCTTTTTCGGGAGCTTCTTACGGGCTCTAAGAGTTACTTATTAAGCTTCGTTTTTTGTTGCTCTTAAAATGAAGATTAATGAGTACTAGTATCCTTCAGAGCCGATATAGGAAGCTCCTGAAAGAGTGCAAGCACCAAGTGACCAGTCACGTGACTCTAGTAGCCAACTTTCCCGCGGGCGACAACTACAAATTTGTTTTGTGCCGTATATATAGTTCTAAATATTTTAAGGCGAAAGCCAATTGTCCCTTTACGCAAAAAAGCGGCGGCATTGTGCCCGAAAGATGGTCACACCAATACGTCGTCAAGCATGCTGTTCAGAAATAAAACACAAAGAAAAGCAACGCGGATGTTTCGTCATGAAACCGGCGGGTTTCGCCACGCCTGCGCAGCGGAGGAGCGCGATGTTACCGCCGGAGCGCCGTGTGCGAAAGGAAGACATGGTGTGCTGCTTGTAGGAAAGCTTTCGCATTCCTATACTCTGTTTCATACTTAGCGTGCAACGCTGTCAAAGCAACCGGCGCGATCATGGGGCTGGATCTCGTTAATCATTTGCACGCGGTCTCGCGCAAAACAAAACCATAGATGAAGCCACGCGCTCGGGCCAGTATCTTTGACAGCGTTGCGCGCTATGTATATGAAACAGAGTATAAACGCAAACAATCTTAAGTAGTGATGGACCGAATCTGCCGAACTTCAGATTCGGCAAAGTTCAAGAAATGCCGAACTTTAGAAGAAAAGTTCGGCAAATGTCTGCGCACGCAGACATTTGCCGTCTGAACGTGACTACACCGTGGTTTGCAAATGGATGCCGTGCAGTGACACATGCGGCGTGCGGGTCAACATCGTGCAGTGCATGGTGGTGCAGTGTCGTACAACCAGCGGTTACGGCGAGGTGTGGAGTAGACAACACGGTAACAGTGCGTTTTTGAGCGAGTGTGGTTCTCTTCAATATTTTCTGCCTCAAGATTAGAAGATCGACTAGTAATTTGCGCAGTCCACTGCGCAAGTGACAAATGATGCGGTACATTCTGGATAACGTGATTTTCATTTGACATTTCCAGTGATGCAACGAGGTAGTTGAAACGTTGGCCGACAAATGCCTTAAAGCACTCCTCGCAATTAAAACATTTCTGTTTTCGGCTCAGAAGTAGTGTGTGCCAAAACTAAATAATATTGCTTTTTCAATTAGCGTTATTTCGCGATTTTCCCGTATCTGCATAAAACTGTACACAGAACTATCACGCTCGACGTTGCACATCCGACCATTCCTAACTCTCCCTATCTTCCTAAACGTTCATGTGTGTCCTAGCAGCAGAAACTGGCATTTGCATGGAAGTGCAGAAACTGCACTTCCATGCAAAGCTGACGTCAAGTGATTCAAATTGAAAAACATACATATTTACAATAATATTATTATCTCTTCTGGGGAAGGCTCAGCAACCGTTGCATTCGTTTTCGTGCACGAAATGGTGACATCCAGAGAAAACAAGAACGCAGCGTTATTGCCTTCATTTTAACAATGTAGAGTACACACACAGGCAGGCTTGCGCTGATGATGCCCCCAAACCGAAACTCTCGTAGCGTGATCCGTGACTGCGCCACACTCGCTTCTACCTAGAGCACTATATAGCTCCTTCGGAGCAGAGTAGCGCAATCTAGAACGCCGTCTCTCGGCGACTAGCGGCGAACGCCCGGAGGTTCCAACTGCGGTCAGAAATGTGGGCAGTTTGATACTTTAGACCCATGTTCCGGATAAAAAAAACAGGACGCGGGATGGCCAAAAAAACCTGCTTTTCGTGCAAGGCTCGTCAAATTATGAGGCGCTGGAGAAATGCAGCCTTCTGCGTTAAGTCCTTATTTCGAACTCTTTTTGTTCGCCTTCCGCCCATTGAAAAGCATGCGGCAAGGGCCTTAGAACGCACCTGGTATCGCTGCGCCGCAGCGTTCTTCCGCATCAAAAAGTTCGTCTGCTTTCCTCGCCGTCACCATGGCAACGAACGCCGAATGAATAGAAGCACGCACGGTACCGCCGCGTGAAGCCAGCAACAGCTGACGCCATTTTACGAACGCCGTCTGCTAGCCACATCCGAACGCGGTGTGTCAGATCAACCGCCTCCGCCGGTGCGCCGCTAGCAAAGACGACGAAGCTGAGGCACGCCGACGGCGAATGGGCGAGCAACAGCACCGCGGGACGGCTGCAGCGGCGGCATTTATTCGGATCAAAGGCCGC